ACACACACACACACACACACACACACACACACACTCAATTATTTATTAATGATGCCATCTTTAAGAAAGAGATTTTTCACTTGTGATGGGTAGTGGGAAATCAAAAGACTGTCACAAAGTTGTTTTGGTTTTTTTTTAAGTGATAGAACACTGAGGGGAATGAAAATTACTACTGTGAAACCATGAAATTTAACAAATTTGATTCATATCATCACTCAGTCAACAACATGATCAATCTTCCTCTTTCTGAACTATGTCAAAAGATAACAATATGTCTGCCATATCTTAAGTTGCCATATTTTGAAACCACACAATAGATTTCAAGCATTTTTATAATACCTAGTCCTTAACAGCTATTCTACTTTGATGAAACCCCTCAAGGTTTTCCAGGCTCTCTGCCTCTACTTACTTGTAGCTGTACTCCTTTCTTATCTTCATTTTCCACATGTAGACGAATCCGACCAAATTTGTCATCTGAGATCCTTAGCATGATCATGCCATGTAGCTCCATGTTCTGCAAGCCTCCATCTCGTCCACAGGTCAGTGTAATTTTTTCTTCAATCTTCATATGCACACTGCAGGTATAAGAAAGTCACTTACTCGGGTTGGAAAAGGAAAATTAGGTATTGTTCAATGTTAAACTTATCACTGACAAAACTTTTTTAAAGGTGGTACTACTCTGGCCAGCAATAAGTGAGGCCTGTTTTTATTGTTACTCTGACCTCACTTGTCTTATAAGGCTACAAAACATCCTGGAATGAGGAACTAGGAAATAAGGAAGATTTAACAATTTAACTCTAATCTGACTTTCCTTGTCCTCTTAAAGACAAAGTCTCTGGCACCAGGACCAACTTTTATGAATACTGCAAGGTAGCACTTTATATTCATGGGAACTCAGCTAGTGTTTTCTGCACAACCACCAAGTGCCAAAGTCTTTTCTGGATAGCCTAACAAATTACTGATTCTAATTTATTTCCCTGTCTCCAAACCATCTTCACAAAGGTGCCAGAACACACCAATATGATATTATACTTTTACTAAAAAAACCTCCACTGGTTTCCCCATTGCCCAACGAATAAACTACTAATCTAACCTGGCATTCAAGGCCCTTTAAATCTGGCTTCAATCCATCTTTCCTGCCTTAACTCATATTATTGCCCTTCACCTACTCTGTGTTCAAGCCCAGTTAGATTATTCATCACCCCCTCCACCCCCCCCCATTTCCATCCTGCCCAGTCCTACCTCAATGCCTTTGGCTCATGCTGTCACAGACTCCCCCTACCCACAAATTCCATTTATTTAAAGCCCTCCCTTCTATCAAAGAACAACTTAGGTACCCAGTCCTTCATGAAGTACTTACTGATACTCCAACCCTTGGGCAAAAATGATCTCTTTCTCCTCAAATATTTTATAGTGCTTTGCCTGAACCTCTCCTTTGCATTGATTTAATTCCATTCATCACAGTTATTTGTGAACATGTCTTCCTATAAGCTTGCAAAGACATATACATGTCTTCCTATAAGCTTGCAAACTCTTTCAAAGAATGGTGTCATAAATATACACATGTACATTTACACAGAAACATATCTCTTCATATTCTCAGTGCTTACCACAGAACATTTTATAGTAGGTGCTTATTTTTTAAAGGGTAGATTAGAGCTCCAACTATCTCCCTCAGTCCAAACTCAGTTTCTTATAACGTTCAAGCCATAGCAATCTACTAGGTATACTTCAGAGACATTTCTGCTTTGGAAAATCTACAGTGGGTCAGTCAACCTGCCATTTCTAACAAAATGATGCAACACTGTTCTATTTCACACAATGAAGGGAGTGAATATGCCCCCTTTATACAAACCTAATAGAACTGTTCTTCCAGACTCATTTTTCACTTGACCTCAAAACCACCAGTAACAGTAGAAGGCTCTGGGCTTCAACACAAGAAATCTGAGCTGTGAATATGTAGACTTGCTTCATAACTGCTACTTACTTATAAATTTTTTCTAACCAATATTAATGTCCAGAGCTAGGAACATACTAGTCTGAACACTTCCCCAGGGTGTAAATATTTAGAAAGAAAGAATACATATTCATATGTTTATAAAATATTTATAAACTTTGGATGAAATATTGAGTTTTTTCCAGTTCAATTTAGAAGAGTGGGAAAGACAACACCAATGCACATTTACAGCTGTAGTTCACCTAGTCAGGACCACTCTGAGAGATAGCACACTAGACACTCCACACATTTGCCAAGGAAATAAATATCTGAAATCAATTTGGGCAGTAAAGAGTTGAGAAAAAGCAGTCTGTTAGTCAACAAGTACATATTAAGCTCCTACAATATGCACAGTATGGTGCTAAGTGATAGGGATACAAAAAAAGGAAAACAAACAAACAACTGAAAATAACCAAAAAACAGCCCATGCTCTCAAGGAACTCAAAGTCTACTGAGAAAGACAACATATAAACAACTATATACACAAACAAGATATACAAAGATAACCAACCGAGTGAAGGCACTAGCATTAAGGGGGACCAGGAAAGGATTCTTGTAGATAGTGCATTTTTAGCTGGGACTTGAAGGAAGCCAGGGAAGCCTGGAGGCAGACAGGAGGAGAGAGGGAATCCTAGGCATGGGGAACAGGGAGCAAAAATGTACTTAGAAGATGAAATGTCTTATAGGAAGGATAGCAAGAAGGCCAGTGGCACTGGATGGCAGAATATCTAGGGATGAAGAAGGCTGGAAAAGGTAGGAGGAGGCCAGGTCACGAAGGGCTGTGAATGTCAAGCAGACGATTTTATATTTGATCCTGGTGGGAGGAGTGCTATGGTCACACCTGTGCTTTAGGAAGATCAATGACAGCTAAGTGGAGGATGGAATGGCGTATTGAGAGACTTGAGGTAGAGAGATCAAATAGAAAGCTAATGCTATAGTTCAGGTGTAAAGTGAAGAGGGTTTGCACCAGGTTGGTGGCAGTGTCATAGAAGAGAAGAGAGAATATCTGAGAGATGCAAAGGTGAAATCAACAGGCCTTGGGAACAGACTGGATAAGGGAGTAAGAAATAGCGAGGAGTCAAGAATAACACTTATTTTGAAAGCCTAGGTAACTGGAAGGATGGTGGCTCTCCTGAGAGCAATAGGATAAGTGATGAATTTGGGAGGAAAGATAATGAGTTCAGTTTTGGACATAACTGATTATGTGATGTCTAAGGGGCATCCAGTTTGAGATGTACAATAGGTAGCTGGAGATATGAACTGACAAGTCAGGAGACAGGTTAGGACCAGATAAGTACATTTAAAAATCATCAGCACAGAAATAATTAAATCCATGGAAGCTGAAGAAATCACCAAGTGAAAGGTACAGAAGGAGAAGAGAAGAAGGTCCAGAACAGAACCTTGGGGGATAGGCCAGAATCAGCAAGCATGACCTGGATAAAGATCCAGCAAAGAAGACTGAGAAGGAACAGTCAGACAGGTAGGAAATTCAGCAGAAAGCATTGTCACAGAAATATGGAGAGAAGAAAATATCAAGAAGGTTATCAACAGTGTCATACAGAGAGGTCAAAAAGGATGAGGACTGAGAAATTTGGTCATTAGATTTGACAATTAAGAGATCATTAGTAACATGGAAAGAGCAAATTTTAGTTGAATGGTGAGAAGCCAGACTGTAGAAAATTAAGAAGAGAATGAAAGGAAAGGAAGTGCAGTTATCAACTGTAGACAACTTTCTCAAGTTTAGTCACAAAAGAGAGGAAAACTATGGGATGATAGCAGAGATAGATCATATGAGGGTTTTCCAAGGATGAGACAAGGCCATATTTGCAGATTGCAAGTGTACAGGGAGAGACTAAAGATAAGTGAGGATCTGTTGGAGAAGACTGGATGGAATGGGATTACTTGTACATGCAGAGGGGTTTGCCTTGGCAAGGAGAAGGTCCACTGTATGTAACAAGATAGCTAATGTGGTGAGTAGGACAGTGAATCAATTAGAGAGGTATAAAAGAATTGCCTAGCCACAGTAAGAGCCCAGTTGAGATTATGTAATATAAATTTTCACTGGATCCAGTCAAAACTGTTTTGTGTTTTTTTTTCCCAGTACATGAATAGGAGTAAAGAGAGCAGAAGATAGGAGTAATCCAAGACTAAGGCTCAGTAGGTCAAGCTCAGACAATAGGATAAAAAAGGCAAAAGACTCAAGAGGGCAGTGTAAAACTGAACTAGTTCATCAAAGGGCCAAAACAGGAAAGAGAATATAGCCAGTATAGGGGTGATGACAAAGGAAAGAAATGAGGGACTGAGAGACAGGAAGTCATGATGAAGACAAAGAATAGAATAGGATCAGGGCTTGCAGAGTTAAGGGAGAAGTGGAATGACCACAGAGTATGAAAAGATCGTGGAATTTCAGAGTTCATTGACATAGAAACAAAATCTGTGGGTGATGCTAAGATTATGCTATACGTAACTCAGCTAAGGTAGAGGATTAGGTCATGTGAAATGAGTAAGTTGAGGAACTAGAGTGTCAGGGTGCTTAAGGAGTAGCAATACAGATGCTGAAGTCCTCTAATATTAAGGCAGGTGAAAGACGATGAGTCAGGCAGTGAATTCATTTAGGAAAGAAGAGGAGTGCTCTGGATGTCAATAGACAATGGCTACCAGAATTTTGAGTACATGGTAGATAAAGATTGAATGAACTTCACAGAAAAGAACACTAAGTGATGGTGATAGAATGTGAGCCTGGAAGTGACAAGAGGGAGCAAGAAGTAATCTAACTCCCCAATCTCAATCAGAGAACCAGAAATGAGTGAACGTGCAACTAGTGTTGGAAAAGGTGCCAAGTAGGTTATATCAATAGGATGGAACCAGGTCTCAGTGAAAGTCAGACGATAGAAGGAGCAAGAAAGGAAAAGCTTTAAGATGAACGTAGGTTTGTTACCTATGAAGCAAGCATTCCAGAGAACATGGTGGAAAGGATGAGTAACTTTAGAGTGAAACACTGGGGTGGTTGAGTTGAGGGGAATGACAATAAGGGAGCAGGCAGGAGGGATAGAGAACGGGGTTTGGACATTGACAACTGGGGGTTCAAAATCACTAAGATGGGCATATTCATGGGAAGAAACATGGTAGGCAGAAGTTTTCTTCTCCAAGATGTTTTAAGATATTTTCCTGTATATTAATATCTATTTTTATTAACATCAACTTTAAGTAAATCTTTTGTATTTTAAAAAAAGTTAAGGACGTACAAAAGAATTTACAAATGCTTAAAGAAAGGAGAGCTACATTAGTTATTTGGTATGCTCATAATGCAGACGTAAATTCCTACCTTTCTATGTTAATAGGTGGAGTGAGCACTTTGGCTGCTTCAGAGGTACGCTTGCCTGCATTGGAGGACATAATGGTTTCACCTTCAGATTTCAGTTTATCCACAAAATTGTCTACTTCTTTGCCTTTGGCTCCAAGTTTCAAAGCCTTGCTTGGACCTGAAGGCCTAAAAGGAAGGATGAACGGTGAGATATTAGCTACCTTAGAAAAAAATTTACTACACAGACCGACAAAATAGGACTTTAGTGATCTTGTCCAATTTTTTTTTTGGGGGGGGGTGAGGCAACTGGGATTAAGTGACTTGCCTAGGGTCACACAGCTAACATCAAGTGCCTTGAGGCTGGATTTGAACTCAGGTCCTCCTGACTGCAGGGTCAATGCTGTATCCACCACACTACCTAGCTGCCCTGATCTTGTCCAATTTTTACAGAAAAAAAACCGGAGGCCCAAACAGGCTAAATCAAACAGTTAACTAGTAGCACAACTGAGGATTAGAACACAGCACTGTTAAGCAAGTATTTTAGAGATAGCTGGTGGTACAGTGCATAGAGTACTGGACCGGGAGACAAGACGACCTGAGTTCAAATCTGATCTCAGACACTTTCTGGTTGTGTGATGCTGAGCAAGTCACTTAACCTGTGTTTGCTTCAATTTCCTCAACTATAAAACTGGAATCTACCTTATAGGGATGTTGTGAAGATCAAATGAGATATTTGGAAAGTGTTTAGCAAAGTGCCTGGCACATGGTAGGTTCTATATAAATGCTTATTTTTCCCACTTATCTAGTGTGTTTCTCACTATAGCACACTGCTTCTTTGCTAATGGATCAATAACTTAATTATCACTAATTTCCTCAGAAGCCCTTGTTGGGGTGAATGCCCAAGACTTGAAGATTGGCCTTAAGAGATACCTAAGTTTTATGGTATAGTGGCTAATGTACTGAATTCAGTTAAAAAGGCTCAGTTTAAATCTTAATTCTGACCCTCACTACCTATGTGATCATGATCACTAGACTTCTACTGAGCCTTAATTTTCTAATCTGCAAAATAGGAACACTCCTCATAGGACTGTTGTGAGGCTTGTATGAAAAAGGGCTTTGCAAACTTTAAAGTATTATGTGTAGTTTATGTTATTCATTTTACTATCTAAATATACATTCTTAAATTTATAGAACATTCTTGATGAAACCAATTATCAAAGTTATTGTGAATAATGTGTTTCCAAGACCCAAAGGCCCATGGAGACAGCTATATGTGCACTGATGATCAAATTTCTACACAGAGTCATCCACAGGGAGCATCAATAGTTAAACATATCCCCAAAGCAACTGTTCCGGAAATGGAGATAGATGGACATTAACTTAACTTATCAAAGGAACGCTTACACAAAAGGAGAAACAATAATGTTTCTCCCTCACCCCCATTTTATATGGTCAAACTTTACGCTTCATATTATTCCATCATGTCATTCTCTATCATTAGCTTGTCTAGGTGCCAGGTACAAGCATAAAAGATATATGTATAGAGTCTTCATTTGGCTTTCTAGGGTTGCTGGTCCCACACCAGACTTATACCTGGCTGGTGCAGGTGCCACTTTTGTTTTTTCTGTTTCAATGATAGTCTCTGTGATCATGGCAGCTGTGCTGCCACCAGAAACTGCTGAGCTCCCAAATCCTCCAAAGCCTGGTGCTTTTTTGCCCTGTCTCTCAGCATCTCTTCGGGCCTGCTGTAACTCCTTGGCTTTACGCCTCATCTCAGCCTTGGCCTCACGCTCCTGAGTCTGCAAAAAAGAGGCACATATGGATCCAGCATTGAGAGAACAGTATGCAGAAGCAACCAATGGTACAAAGGAAAACCGAAAACCAGAGAGATCACTGGAAAAATCTAGAAGACAGATCAAACACTTCAGATTCACAAAATCTCAAAGCACCAATTTACCTCTCTAACTGCTCGGAACACCTTCTCCTCATGAGAGTCCATTTCTGTGAAAGTCCGGATTTGCGCTAGGTTAACATTCTCTCGGTAACCCAGGGCAACAATCTCATCAAAGGCAAAAATCAGGTCAAAGCAGTGCTCAGATATCTCATTTTCTTCTAAGGCTCGGCAATATTCAGGGATCTGGTCATTGATGGTAGTGATAAAGGAAGAAGATATTTAGAACTTAATCAGGAGCTATCTTTCCAAGTCATCCTCAGAAACACAGCCAACTCTACTAGGCTTGAGAATGTCCCCAATCTGAACCCTTCTCATCTCTTTTGCTAGTTTTTCCTTCTGAGAAGTTAATTCTTATTGTCACAAGGCATCTCTTGTGGCTCTTGCATAAGCAAAACAACAACAACAAACCCAGTAAGTTTTAGAACTTGTTATCCAAACATACACCACTAAATAACTGTCAGACACACATAATAGCCAATTGAGTCATTTATTCAAACTTTATATATGTGAACTTCAATTTGGTAAAATTATGAAATGAAAGTACGATCCTTACTAAGTTTTGTTTAAAAGCATTTCTTGGAATTTCTCTGGTTACATGAATTTTCCTGGCAGAAGATAAAGTTCTATTACAAATGCTACAGAACCACATATTGCAAAGACATAAGCAAATATTTTTTACAGCTGTGTTTTTACTTTAGGGATGAGTCCATACAAGTTCTCTCCAACATAAGAATAAACTTCTCCATTCTGAGCAATATCTGATAGGTATCAGCATACTGGTCAGTCTGTTTTAAATATCAATCTGTTCAAATAAAGGCTTGTTGTCTTGGGTTTTTCCCCCCTCAGATTCTTTTTAGGAAGCATGAGCTCTCACAAAGACAGAAAGAGAAGTAAAAAACCAAATCTGACACTATAGAGAGAATTTTACCACTCTCGAGAAGAGTCGTAGGGTCTCCAGGTCCTCCAGGATGTTACTGTTTTTGGTGGTGATTAGAACCATGTACAGCTTCTCCATTGGTTGATAGACATATCTTACACTTTCCGTCTCAACAAATGTGTGTTGCTTTCCAGTGTTCATAAGCTTGGGGAAAGCTGCTAGCAACCCTTCAATTCGAGTCCGGGTCATTTCCACAAACTGTCGAGAGACTATAGCTTTCCCTGCTTTTGTGCAGACAGCTGCTGCCAACAGCACCTGTCAGGGATACAAGCATAACTATAGTTATTTCAACTTCACTAGAATGAAATATATTGAAATACAACCACCCAAAGAGAAAACTGTTCTAAAATATGCTACCCTTCAATTTATATTAATGCCATTTAAAAAAAGGAGTTTATTTTCTCAACATCCCCAGGGATGGATCATTCCTGCTAAGGAAAAAAAAAAATCAAAGGTCCAGAGATATTTAGTATACATGGTGATTTAATGATAGAATCATAATGAAAATACTCATCTATATTCCAGTCCAGAGCTTTTTTTTTCTATTGTAGTTAGTAATAAAGAAGATGAAGTTAAAATGAGAACAAAAAAGAAACTAGCTACTATACTTATTTTGCCACTTAATGAACAAGAAAAAGAAAAATCTGTTTTTTGGAAATAAGTTCTCTGTGGAATATTTCATACACTGCCAGAGAGTGTTGGTTGGTTCTACTGAACTGTTTTTACTCTTTCTTTTTCTAAAAAATTATTTTTTAAGAGATGGCTCACAGGGTACACCAGGGGATATGAATATAGTAGAAATGAAAGGGAGGTTTAAAACAAAAGATAGCAATCAATAAATACACATTAATTACTGGTCTATTAACTGCCAGGCACTAGGGATATCAATTAAAAAAAGTTTAAGTTCTCTCAAGTTTTAATAAAAAAAAATTTTTTTTGGTCAAGATCTTTCATTTTTGACATCACCAAGACTATTAGATTCTACCTTCACAACATCTCTTTTATACAAGCTATGCCCCCTCCGTAAAGCCATTACCTTGGTACTATGAACCCTCACTATCTCACTGACTTTTTCAATAGCTTTCAGGTTGGACTCCCAATTCCAAGTCTCTCACTACTCCAGTCATCCTTAATTATACTGTCAAAGTGATTTTAAAGTACAGGTCTGACCCTGTCACCACCTTACTCAATAAACTCCAGTGGCTCTCTATTACATCCAGGATCAAATATAAAATCTTCTGGCTTTTAAAGTCCTTTACAACCTGGCCCTTCCTACTTTTCCAGTCTTCTTACACTTTACTCCCCTCCATATACTCTTTAATCAGCAACATTCACCTCTTCCCTATTCTTCCCACACAACAATGTAATTCTCACCCTGTGCACTTTTACTAGCTATCTCCCACATTTGGAATGTTCTCCTTTCTCCTCTCTACCTCCAGGTTTTCTTCAAGTGTTAGCTTAAGTTACATCTTCTGCAAGAAGCCTTTCTCAGTACCGTTTAATCTTACTGTCTTCGTTCTGAGACTACCTCCAATTTATACCATATATATCCTTTTTGTACCTAGTTGTTTGAAGGTGGTCTCCTTCATTAGAATGTGAATTCCTTAAGGGCAGGGACCCCTTTCTTTGTATCCCCAGTGCTTAGCACAGTGCCCAACACAACTGCTGACTTGACTTTAATTCCTTAGTATAGTCTTCCCCCTCTCCAACCCAAAGAGCTCTAACTCTATTAATAAAGAATAAAAATAAAAGAGAAAAATGAAAGCACTTCAGCATTTAGGGTCAGGGTTAACCAACACATCAATTGAGTTTGACAATAGTCTGTTCTATATGTCCTATCCCCATAATCCCCGAATCTCCGTAAAAAAAGAAAGGGAGGTATATTTTCTTTCATAAGGGCCAAGTTTGGTCATTATAATTACACTGCACTGTTTCATGTTTTTATTGTTGTTGCTACCCTGTTCTTTCCATTTACATTGTCCTAGTCACTGTGTAATTGTTTTTCTGATTCTGCTTACTGGAAATAAATTACTTTCAAACTTATGTATTCCTTCCTGGTGATTTCCCTCTGACTCACACATGTGTGCTTTGGTGAACTAATAATGAATAGAACCTGAAAAATCTTGTGGACTAGAATTTCCAGAAGGGAGGTCTGATCCAGGTAAAATAAAAGCCTAATAGAAGTTCAGACTTTTCCCCACATTGTTAAGTGGAATGAGAACTACTGACTCTAATCTCCAACTTGTACACTTTGACTAACCCTTCTACCCACTCCATTCAGCCATGCTGACAATCTGCAAAGGAAGAGAAATGATCCCAAATAGCATATGGATCTTGACACTAAACTGTGATCAAAACCTTGCAGTCTTCCTAACAACTTTTTTAGAATATGGCATTTCATGAAACAAAACAAATAAAAGGACACAGGGAAGAAGAGACCTCAACTGCCATTAGAGAGGATAGTAAGGAAATTAAGTACAGTGTTAACAGCATCTTCAATGAAGCCACCCAGAGTACAGCAGAGATTACAAAAAGACCATTTTTACATTTTGGAAGCCACAATGCTAGAAAACCACCTCTGAAATATCAACCATCTGTTAGCATTAACCAGCCTTGTCAGCATTACAATGCTACCCGTCTCCCCCACAGGTGAGCTGCTCAAGAAATGGGTACTAGAGGCTCCCTGAGGGCCTGTGCTACTCTCACATTCTTCCCTTCTGTGAAAACTAAGTCAGTCAACTCATATAAATATACTTATAATATCAGCACACTACACTGAATATTAATTACAGGGGAAAGTGCTCCTTACTCATCTAAAAATAGGTAATAAGGTTGTTTGAGAAACTATTATCATCATGAACCTCAAAGCAATAAGGCAGCAGACAATTCATATGCAAAAGATATCAGACTCATCTGCTTACTGCACAAACAATACACAGAACTGGAAGGGACCCAAGAGATTCCATTTTTTCCATTCTCTTTTTATAAAAGAGGAAACTGAGGCTTAAAGAGGTTAAGTGATATGCCTATGGCTATAAAGTGAATGGCTGTTGCTCAGCCTAATGAACAAGGATTTTTAATTGTACCAACTGATGTGCATTAATTGCACACTGGTCTCAAGAGATCAAATTATCAGTTTCATAGTCAAAGCTCTACTCCAAAATAAAATAATTACAAGTTTAATTGAAAGCTGACTTAAAACAGCAATGCAACCTCATGAAAATTAGTATGTTTTTCATTTTCCGCCACTTTCTGATTATAGTTCTTTCCTTCACATTGAAGCTCGATTCCATCACCCCAGCTTTCACGTTTGTTTTCATGCTCATGAACTACTCACTGTAATCAGATATACTCCTAACTGGTACCAAACTTACCTTTACGTTAGATAACAACTGAGGTGGTGAGTAAATACTAAATAATAATAACAAGAAAAAACTGTGTTTTGCAAATTGGTCAATTCTTTCTGAATTTTCAATAGGGTCAGGGTTAGTTTGATGAGCATACATGGGAGCTCCTCTCTAAAAGAATTGTTGGTATAACTGTTTCTAACTTGGGAGACAGACCTTTATTTCAGCACCATTCTGCTGGAGTTTTGAATAACCCCGAGTAAAAGGCATCTGGATAAGAATCTGAAGAGAAAATATGACTCAAATCTCAAAAGAATTTCCTATTACATTTTTCAGAGGTAATGACAACAATGGATTAGGTTGGCCTAGTATGGAATTATGAAAAGAGATCCAATGAATTTTTTTTTAGTTCACATGTGTGATTCATCTGTTTGTGGTACTTCTTGGTGAAGAAACTCACTCCAACTCATCTTTTTTTTTTTTTTGGCACAGGGAATATAGGAGGTACCATACTTCCTCACTCCAGTTATCATCTAACTCCTGAATAACTGTTACACTGATTCTGCTTAAATGATACATGCTTAGAAGGTACAAAGTATCTCATATTTGTCAAGTACAAAAGGAGCTCATTGGTGTTATGTAAATCCCTCTATACAAGATCAAGCAGCACAGTATAGAACAGCACCAGATTTGAAGTTACAGGGCTACAGTTTGAATCCCAGCTCTGTTACTTACTGACTACTTGTACGACTTTATACAAGTCACTTCATCTCTCTGGGACTCAATGTACACATCTATAAAATGAAGGGGTTGGACCTGCTCACTAAGGTGCTCCCAAACTCTAAATCTGTGACCCTACAAACCATGGGCCATGTTCCCATCATGTTGCTGCACTCAACCCTCCCTGGCCCAGGCCAACTAGTGTTCTTTTAAGCCATTTTTCTGCCAATCCTTTGCCTCTACCATCTTCCCAATTTCCACTTTCCACCTCTCGTTCTAAGAAAATAATAAAATCAACACAATAATTTCTAATGACTTTCAATAATTGCTCTATGATTCTACACATCATACCAGTAGTTTCTTCAACCAAATCACCCCTTCCTGGCCACCATATCCCCAGTATTTGTTGTTTTCCTATTTTAGAATGTAAGTTCCTTGAAATTAGGAAATGTCTTGTATTGTTATTCCCATAAGTGCTTAATAAATGTTCTTTCTTTCTCTGCCTTTAATTCAATAAGTGTTTCCTTCCTTTCTTTTGGTCTTTCTCCATTTTTAATCTGTGATATTTGCACCAAGGCATGTTCCACATCAACCAATCCAGCTATCATTTAGGGTTTGTTTAATGAGATTTTCAACAGAGCAGAAGTTCTTAACCTGAGGTCCACGAACTAGTTTTAAAAAAACTGATAACTGTGTTTCAATATAACTAATTTTCTTCATAGTCTTATGTAATTTCTTTTATGGATTCAAATATATCATTTTGAGAAGGGGTCCATAGGCTTCATCAGACTGCCAAAGGAGCTCATAGCACCAGAATAACTTACTTTAGTATGGATCTTAAATTAAGCAAAATTAGTCGGTGTGCCACAGTCATAATATACAAACCAACCAGCTAACTAAAAAAAATTTCTTGGTTACATTTTAAGGTCCTAACTGACTCCCTCCCTCCCCATCTCACACTAGAGAAGGCCACCATTTGACAGATATATACGTAAACACATATATGCATGTAAAACTACACTATGTATACTTCTATTTATCAATTCTTTCTCTGGAGGTAGATAGCATCTTCCTTCCTAATTTATTCTCCCTTCTCATCTCATCTTCTGTTTTTGGAGTTTAGAATTTCCAGATTCCTTCAAGGCTGATTTGACTATTAATAATACTCAGAATAACTTAGTTGTTCAT